TATATATATATATATATATATATATATATATATATATATATATATATATATATATATATATATATATATAGTAAAAAAAACATTTAGAAATTAAATTTTACATACCTCTCTCCTTCCCATAAAATGTGCTTTTTTGTATGTCGGCCATTTTGGATGCAGTGTAAGAAGTGGTTCCTAGCATGCCAGCCAATCAAATGACACATCACTAGAAAGCCCAGGATGTCCTCTGAACAGTACAACTGGACTTGACAAAGTAGCTCAAAGAATTCAAAGAAAATGCATGAAAACACAATGTCCACTACAGAGGACACAAGTCAATGGGCGGGGTCTCAGGAGGAGATATATATATTTATACAACAGTTCTGTCTGGATATCGTATCTGATTGGCTGATAGCCGTGATATATTTAAGTAATATCAGCATCCGTACAGCCTCTTTGCCCTTTTTTTTTATTACTCCGCCCACATACAGCCAGCAACAACCAGGCTACAGTTTGACAAATATTACTGCTGTTACGCAACAAAATATACTTTCGAGGCTTTTTAGTCGAGAATATAGTTGTTTAGATTGCAACTATGCAGTTTATTTGTAAAAATAGTGCCTATTTTAAAGTATTTACAATTTCTGAGAGCTCGGCGGCAGCCAAAGACGGTTGACATTGTCTATCCACAAGATGGCGCCAGAACTGCATAATAAGCCCTTGCTCAGTGTGTTCTCTTGAGCACGAATTAAGCTGAAAAACGGAAGCCTCGTGGTTTTTAAGGTGGACCGGATAGAGTCAATAAGAAGCTGCGAATAAGAAGCTGGATTCAGCCTTGTCCCTCCTTATCGCAAACACAACAGCAGTCTGGTGAGAAATCTCTGTAGACGGATGGCTTTTCATGTCACGTTCAGCCTTATAATCTTAAAATGTGAGCAAAATTTGCTGTTTTGTTATCACCTTAAGGCGGTCACACACCAGAAGCACAGCTTCACATTACGCTATAGAGAATCATTCAAATACTAGCTCTAAAGTGACGTTGGTGAATTAGAAACGGCTTCTGCTGTTCTGACGTCAGCTGCAGATGTGAATGAATGGCGGAAGAAAGTAGTTCCTAATACAAAAGGGTTTTAGAGTCTGTGTTTGTTTTTCTTTTTTATGTACAAGATTGTGCCGTGGAACTGTTGTATAAACGCAATATCACACTCGTAGCAATGTGCTATGGCTGAATATCAGCACTGGTGAGGTGCTAAGGCACTCGGCCTGTGACCTCGTGCCAACGCACGCCTCCCACCAATGCTGATATACACCAATAGCACTCTGCTACGAGTGTGATATTGCTTATATATTGTTTGAAAACTCGTGTTTACTTTTATGTCATGTTCCTTTATTGAAAAAATTTATCTGTAAATAAATATTAAAATGTTGCATTTAAGCTTTCCATTCAGTAACCAATCGTTCTGCATTGCATCCAGATCATTGCAGCCCAGGAGGAGATGCTCCGAAAGGAAAGGGAACTAGAAGAAGCCCGAAAGAAACTGGCCCACATCCGACAGCAGCAATACAAGTTCCTGCCCAGCGAACTGCGAGAAGACCAGAGCTGAACACTCGTCTGATTGGACACCATATCCAGCGGATCACGATTGTTAAGGATGATTGGCTGTTCCACAGATGAAGGAGCAGGGAGAGACGTCGCACGTCATTGGTTGTGTTACTGTCAGGTGACTTGTTGAAGTTAAATGTGATTGGCTCACATGGGACTAGCACCACTGATTGGTCGTATGTTGGAGTATGAAAGCATTTCCTCTTTCATAGGGCTAATATTTTATGTTCCTTTTTTTTCGTCATGAATTAAGAGTGTGTGTGTGTGTGTGTGTGTTTTGTGTACTTAAGAATCTCAATAATCCTACACAAAATCAGTATGTCTTATAATGCAACCAATGTGAATCTATTAAAAATCGTCGGAATTTCACTTTTCGCCATTGAAGTATGATGTCAGACCATAAGCTTTCATTATCTGACTCACGTGTGACGATAAGCTTCGAAACGCCTCTAGAATGCACTGCTCGATTTATGCATATCCCACTCTAGAACTGTATTGTAGGGTTATGAATTATGCCTAGCTATTGTAAGGGAAGAATGTAGCGTGTTATTTATTGATAGCAGAACTTTAAGTAGAGTAGCTTTCGGCTTCTCTTTTGCGTTTGTAGGTTTAGTTAGAGGTTTAAGTGGGTTGAACAAAATAAGGAAGTATCGTGTCTTTCAATTGCAAATGGTTTCATTCAGGTCCTGTGTCCGCCTGGTATTAACATGCATTATCAGTGATTAAAAGTGGTTGAGATGTAATACCGTTTCTACCCGGTATTCACAAGCATTTTTTGTAGATGACTTATAGACATCTAACAGACGTCTAATAGACATCTAATAGACATCTAAGAATAGCCCAAAACAAGACTGATGATGGTTCTCAGATGTATATTAGATTTTCACTGACAGCCCAATTTTAGTCTTGTTTCAGCCAAGACATCTATGTTTAGATGTCTATTGGACGTCTATTAGACATTAAATTGCTTGGTGGGTTGTGAACAGTCGAGATCTATTTTCCTTGTCTTTCGTCGCACTCTACATCTCTTGTACGCCTGCCGTGGCCCATGAATACTATTACATGAACTCATTATGTGGCTTACAAGCAAATGGAAACACAAACAAATGTACGTTTTGGATGGAAATCATGATTTTGTAGCAGTGAAGTATGACTACCTTGTTGTGGTCCAATAACAATCACATGTCAGTAGGTGGTGTTTCCTGACCGTTTGAATGCAGTCGGTCGTATGAGAATTTGTACTACGAAATCAAATGTGTTTTCAACTACCTCTGAAAGTGGTGAAAAGTGAACGAGCTTCAAGCGTTTTAGACTCTTTTTGCACCTGTATTTTTGATCGAGCAAAAAATTGCTGATAATTTACCATAATTCCTCTGTTATGTTCAGAATATATATGAGTAATAGCACACGAGTAGCAGTGAGCTATGGCTGTATATTGGCACTGGTGGGAGGCGTGCTTGGCTCGAGGCAGCAGGCTGACTGCCTTAGTGTCCCACTATTGACGATCGCAGTGCTACGAGTGTGATATTGTGTTTATTAGACAGTTCGATAACATAATCGTGTATAAACAAAAAAAGAATCAAACATAGAGAGTCTTAAAAACACTTTTGTAAGAGGAACTACTTTCTTCCGCCCCTCATTCACAACTGCAGCTGTCAGAACAGCAGAAACCATTGCTACTTCACAAACGTCCCTTTAGAGCTTGAATTTGAATGATTCTCTAGCATAATGTCTAAAGCTGGGGTGTCCAAACTCGGTCCTGGAGGGCCGATGTCTTGCATATTTTAGCTCCAACTTGCCTCAACACACCTGCAAGGATGTTTCTAGAAAGCCTAGTAAGAGCTTGATTAGCTTGTACAGGTGTGTCTGATTGGGGTTGGAACTAAACTTTGCGGGACACCGGCTCTCCAGGAACAAGTTTGGACACCCTTGGTCTAAAGTGATAACAAAACAGGTGATTTTGTTAACATTTTAAGATTGAACAACATAAAATGCCATCAGTCTACAGAGATTTCCCAGTATTTCTCTGTTGCAATCGGAAGATCACCATAATTAACCCCGAAAAAAGCCAAAGGAAAGCAAACACTAGCAGATTACTGTGGTTTAAATACAGCACTACAAAATACAAAAGAGAGAGATCGACTTGTCGAGATCGAAACGTCAACCGTCTTGGCTCTGCTCAGTATGACAGGCTGATGGCCGCCAATGCGCTGAATCGATGAAATTATAAATATTTAAAATAGGCACTAACCTTATAAATAAACTGAATAATTGCAGTCTAAACAACAACATTCTTACCTAAAAAAGCCTCAAAAGTACATGATGTTGTCCAACAGCTGCAATATTTGTCAAACTGTAGTGAGTCTATTGATCTGCCGTCGTTATCGCACAGCTATCAGCCAATCAAATTCAAGAACCAGACAGAGCTGTTATGTATGCACATATACTTTGCACACTATGCTGAAATATGCAGATTTTTCACATTTTGCATTTGCCAAAATGTGCAGTAAATGGAAACATAGTAAACTATGAGTAACCCTATAATCCTGAATCCAGTGTTCATATTGTTTAATTCAAGATAGATAGATAGATAGATAGATAGATAGATAGATAGATAGATAGATAGATAGATAGATAGATAGATAGATAGGTAGATAAATACTCTTTTTTGGCTAAATTTTGCAATTATATGAATTAAAACTAAATCTCCCAGCCTGACCAGCTAAAACCAGCCTGGAAATGGCCAAAACCCCTCTAAAACCAGGCTGGTCAACCAGCTAAAACCAACCAACTAGCCCAGGCTGGTTTAAGCTGGATTTTTCAGCAGGGATTTTGTAGTATAAATAATGTAAGTGCGTTCACACTGAAAACTCTATAAGTAATTTAATCACCCGGATGATGCACTCAGTCAACCGGTAAAATGAAGTGTGGATTGTTGGACACTTCACGCACTCAACGACCACAGGTTTGCTCAGGTAACGGAAGGGGCGAAGATGTTGGATAACTTTATTTATTTTGGTTGGTGAAAGCAAAATTCTCCTTCGAGAGTGATTATAGCGCCTCCCGATGGTGAATTCGGTCATACTCATGGCAGGTATTATTTGGTACTTTGGTCATTTATTTCACTGATTTGGCAACCATCAAACATCATTTGAAACAGTTTGAATTTCCGCTTAGTAAAAAAACATTAGTGCCCCTTTGGGAAAACACTACATACATATAATCAGTGCTAAGTGCATAAGTATATAGTGCATAAGTGCATACTTTATAGTGTGCCATTTAGCATGCAGCTACTGTATCACACTAAGTATGTTAGCATTTCATTAAGATCCGTAACTGATCTCAACAGCATTGAAAAACGTACCCAAAACTATCAGATATGTGCGAACCGAGTGTACTGAGGCAGAAATGCAGCATAACATCATTTGAAATGTCTAACATTTCATAATCAAGACTGTTTCATATACCACTTTTTAAATAGTATCCATTATATATAATAAGTGCTAGTATTCCATTCAAAAACAGAAAGTGTACTTCATAGCATCTTCAAAAGGACTAATTTGTCAGAAAATGCCGACTTGCATACATATATATAGATGACAAAAAAAATTATAATATTTCCAAACTGCGCATATGACTGACATTTTACTATCCCATGAGGCCACAGCAAGCATTTGTGAATGGCTGCTTCTGAAATCGCATACTTCAATACTATATAGTATGCTAAAAACAGTATGCGAGCCGAGTAGTATGTCTGAATTCAGACTTCGAAAAACAGTATGCGAAAAGAACCCGGACGTCCTACTACTTCCGGCGAGATTCTAAAGCGTGCATCCGATGCATGCTGCGCTATCTCATAATGCGCTGCAAGAGAATTCATGAATGGAAGTGAATCGACGCAACTAGGTAGGTCACGTGATCATGACAAAATGGCGAAAATGGAGTTTCATTCATACTTCTTACATTAATACTGTATATAATGTACTTTTCTAAAGGCCGAGTAGTACATTTCAATTCAAATGTAGAACCTACTGAGTAGTAGGCGGTTTCGGATGCAGCCAATGACACTGAAGCGACGCAAATAACATCACAGGTCGCATGACCATGACAACATGGTGGATGTAGCATATCTGAATTTCGTGCATTACTACACGCCCTCACACTCGACAAAACATGAGGATGACGTGATTTTTGGATGAAGCTATGTTCTTTTCTGGAGATTTCTTTCCAATAGATCAACATCCCATTAAGACTGTATTGCAAGGAGTGCAGCAGGAATCGGCAAGCGGTAGCTTCAGTGTCGTCTTTCCTGCAAATAACACATCTCTTCCGCTTATTGTGATTTTTGTGTGAGAAAAGAGGGTGTAATCCCTGTTTTGCGTCGTGTTACGTTGCATAAAATAACATGTGGCACTTAAAGGGGACCTATTATGCCCCTTTTTACAAAATGTGAAAGTTTCTGATGTCCCTAAAGTTTGTATGTGAAGTTTCAGCTCCAAATGCCACACAAATAATGGTTTATAACTGACCCTTTGATCCTAATTGTGCCATTTTGGTGACTGTCGCTTTAAATTCAAATGAGATTGGGCTCTTTTCTAAAGAGGGCGGAGCTACAATTGCCTGCGTGTCAGCATAGTGGCGGATTCACAACTCTAATGGTGGACAGCTGCTTCTCACTCAGGGCTGTTTATGCTAATGAAGGAGAGATTGTCCCTAATGGGTGGGGCTTTCCCTGTCTGATGACACGTACAAAGGGAGAATGTCAATCAAAGTGTTTATCTAGTGTGATTATACAAAATATATATGTTTAATACATTTTTGCCATTAGAAGCTGGTTATATTCACAGACTGTTGCCACACAACTGTGCTTAAACCCCTCATGAAAGCATAATAGGTCCCCTTTAACAATGACTGTTGTGACTCTCAGATCTGGTGTCATAGTGCCTTATTCTGACTTCTTCAGTGTCCAAGTCGCTCTTTTATGCTGCGCCTGGACCAGATTTCACTCTCTGATCTGGTTTGTACAGCCCCAGGATCTCATACCGAGTGAGAGCATTGTGTCCTCTGCTAATATTGGGACAGTTGGTTAAAAAGGTATAAGCAAAGAAGGGGAAAACGTTTGATCTTTTGCTCAGAATTTAACAAACCATCACTAATTGCTGGTGCAGCTTTAGTTAAATATGACACATTTAAACACGTTAAAATTACGTTATTTCAACTTGGGTTGTATAATTTCAGAATTTCATTAATAACTTAATTTAGGCAATTCATTTTGATCCATGTACAGTTGAAGGCAAAAATATTAGCGCAGAAACATGAGAGTACACAATCGGCTCACAGCAAGGTTCGAGCCCCGGCTGGGTCAGTTG